TGATGCAGACATGTTTTCATATACGTAATCAGTACTTTAAAATGTCCAGCGGGGCCCATCATATGGATAATAGATTTCCTCCAGTTGAAAGAGAAGCTTGGATAATTTTGTTCGTTGTGAACCTTAGTGAAGCATGAAACCACACACTGAGGAGCATGCAAAAGCTGCTCTTTCAACTGCAGCCAAAATATGTCCATGGAGGTTTGTCTTTCCCTCAGCACACTCACAAGTATTTTCCGCTCAAAACACAGTTCTGCCCATCTATTGTCATTATTGAGAAAAAAGAAGAAGAAGAAGAAAAAGCTGTTGATTATTTTAATTTGTAGGTTGTTTTGTTTATCCCTGATCTGAACCACATTCTGACTGGTCCCATTTTACTTGCCATTATGTAAATACTACTTAAACTGTGATGTAGTGCGGAAGGATGAAGAAGAAAAGAAGATATGAATATTCAGAGGCTTAAGTGTGTGACAGTCATAGAGCAAAGGCTCCATCGGCAAAATTCTTCCAAATATAGGCAAAATACGATCGCTCAAAACTTCCTTAATCAGTTTGGAGAAACATTTCTTTAGTCAGGGTTGTCAGGGGTCACTCTGATGATGGGTCTCCCAGAGGGAAGAATGTAATGACTGTGAACTGAACGTTGGCTTCACATGTGTCTCCTCGATCACACTTGCTACTTCTATATAAGATATAGATATACATGAACTTCTTTCACATATAAACCTGGTTTCAAACAATTTCCACAAAACATTAACAACAACAAAAAGAAAGGCATAAAAGAAGCACAGGTTAAATCAGCAAGAAAATATAACTGCCCTTGTACTTTCCTTTTTACCCAAATCTACAAGTTTTTACATTAGTTTACTTAAAATTTTTACTTTTACAACCTCTGGAGGTAATACATAAATCAGCTGTTTGGAAATATTGATGGCCATTGTTAATGTCATCAACAATGGTTAGTGAGACGCAATGTCAGTGTTGTGGGCATTCGTTTATGCACAGCTCTTTTAAAGTCCCTCCACATTTCAATTATAGGATCATTGCAACACCTTGATTCTTTTCTTTTAAAGACATGCAGCTGTGCATGTCTTTAAAAGACATGCACAGGACAGTCTGCTGGGTCATCCAGCAGACTGTCCTGCTGGATGACCCAATTTGAGCCAAGCTTTAGCTAGCAGACATAAGGCCTGACATTTGACTCTAGAATACTTTTTATACTCATCTCCCTTGGTTTAAGAACAACCCCCAACACCATATTTAGCACCTGCTATCAGGTGTTGTGTGATTATATGTTGATTTTTTTCAAATGTGATGCTGCACAATAATGGCTAGAAACGTCTAGTTTCATCTCGTCTTTCCAAAGGACATTGTTCCAGAAGTCTTGTGGTTTTCTTTCACATGCATCTTTGCAAACCTAAGCTGTGCTGCCATGTTCTTTTTCAGTCAGAAGAAGGAAACACCTGGAAATGCACTCTTTTTATAATTGTACTGTCATGAAATTGAATATTCAGCATGCTAATGGAGGGATGTAGAGTCTGAGCAGTAACTCTTGGGTTATTCTTCTGAGCACTGCATTGTCTGACCTTGGGGACATTGTTTCATTATTGTGGGATTATTGTCCAAGACCTGCAAAATGCCAAAAGCTCTGCTTTTATAGAGGTGCTCAGACTTGCTGATGATCAGTTGAATGAGTGCATATAATTATCAACAACAGGTCACTAGTTAGCCTGTTATTTCCTGTGGAAGCAGTCAGGGTGTACTTGTACTTTCGTTTTCTCTGTAGGTGTAGAAGTGAGCAGGGCCAGAAATCTGGACTAATTCTTAAATAGCCCTTTTCTACTGCCTGAATGACGCATGCTGCACTTTATACAGCATGCCTCATTCAGCCAGCAGGTTATTTTTTGTTCTATGCTTACATGCTTACAAATTGCTTTCCAATTTACTTACACATTGGAAAGCAGCTAGCATGCAGACTGGAGTAGACAGGGATGTAACTACAGCGTCCCTCCCTCTCTAAAGGCCTGGCCACCTTCTTCATGGCAAACTGTGCCTGTTGCCCCAGTGCCATCATCTAGTGTCTAGACAGTTACATAAGCATAAGCAGTTTGTTCTAAATATATTATGCGGGTAAGATCGAGCAAGGCTACAGTAAGCAGCTACTGTACGATAGTGATTTTTTTTCTTACTAAGTTGATTCCTGTTATAGACTTGCTCTATGCTGTAGACACGAGGCAACTGTTGATCAAGCAGTTCAAGAATGCATGGGAAAAAGTGTTTTGCCACACAAACAATAAATTGGATCATCAGCGAACACATCAGTTTTGCAAGTAAGGCTCGTAAAAAATGCTGTTAAAATACACACACACTCTCACACTCACATTTATCAACTTGACAGAACACCAAACACACCCAAAGGGTCTTGAAGTAATCAAGAAACACACAGCGCCTTTTCGATTGAATCATATATAAATACAAATCACACGTCAAAAGCAAATCATGATTTTTATCCCAAAAGGTTTGCATTCCTCTGTAAAGACCTGTAACAATTTGACACTTTGGTGAAATAATAAATACTTGGCCACAGAAATGAGAAATATCTTCCTCATGGCCCTGTTGTCTTATGATGTAGAGAACCTCTTCGTGAAGCTTAGAACCACAAAGTTTAGAGAAAAATTACATCAGATTGGCACGAATAGTTATTGTTATCTGTCTGTTCACATAAATGAGTTTAACATAACCACATCAATAAGTTATTTGTGTGTTTATCCATATTCAGTGATTTCTGAAGGTGCAGGAAGAATTATTTTTCTTTGCACAGGTCAGGTTGAGGACATTGGAAGATAAAGAATAAAACATCAACATCTACTGCTAAGGTATCACAAAGTATTTTCAGTTGGTGAGCCAACTATTTCTGATATCAACAGTTATAACTACACAGCGCTCCCCTCTTATCCAGGCTTTGGCTAACCAAATGCACTCAACACAGAACAATCTGGTAAACTCTAATAATGAGATATGAGAGACACATGATAATCTGTTGGAATAAATAAACTGTTTCATGAAGAAGGTGAAGATTTTGTCAGGAAATGTGCAAACATGTGCCTGAAAACAAACACGGAGAGAGTTTTCCTTCAGATTGCAACACTCCTTGCGGCTGCACAAAACCCAAATAGAACACTGTGGTTTAAGTGAATGTACATTTTAGCAGGGGTCACTTTGTAGAGCTGTCTATGTCACCTAAACCCAAATGACAGGTTTTTCTCCTTGAGGATTTCCAAACAGTTATTTTACTTGAGCCATACAAGGGTTCTGAATATGACAAGCAAAGCCATTTATAAGCATATGACCGCCATGCCACACTGTCTAATAGCTGAGATGTTTGCTTCAACAAAAATATATGTTCTGGATCTCAAAAAAGAAAATGTGAAGCATCGAGGTCCAGCCATTAAAGTCCATATGCTGTGAGGTACCACTCATACTGTGGTAAAATTTGCAGATTTACCTGCTGGGCAGATTACACTCTCTAAAATCCTGTGCAAGAATCCTGCTTATTTCATTTCCCAGGAAAATAGGGTATATTCTCCAGTCTTCTTAAAGGACATTCAAAGCTTTTCTTTGGATCTTGGCTGCCTTTTGTTCTGTTCTCTGTCATTACGATCCCACACTGCTTCATTAACGTTGAGGTGCGTGCTCTGTGGAGGACAATCCATGTCTGGCGGTGTTCCACTGTGTTTTTCTATGCAGGATGCTTTTACTGCATTGGCAGTGGGATCATTGTTATGTTGAAAAATTAAGCCGCTGCTACTCAGATATTTTCGGGGTGACATTGCATGGTGGGTCAAAATCTGATGGTACTTTTCTGCATTCATCATTTCTGATAAGATCACCAGGACCACTGGTCGAGAGTCCAGTGGCAGCATGCTTTATAGCACTACATCACCATTGCGCTTGGTGATTTAAGGCTTGGGTGCAGCGGCTCGGCCACTGTTCTTGAGGTAATCTGACGGCCACGTGAATTTCGAAGGTCTGTAGCAACTGACTCCGGATAAGTCCTCAACCTCTGTGCACTTCATGGCTGTTGTGCTGTTGATCCCAGTCGCTTTCCTTGTTATAATTAAATGTCATTTTATTTTAAGTTCAGGTGACTTTTTTGGCCTCTGGCAACAGATGAAAATTATCCCTTAACAATCAGCAGATAAACTAACTGAACTACAAACATCCCTCCACAGAATAAGTTTGTTAGCTAGAGCTAAGCTATGTAATATCTTGCCGTAGGTTCAGTGTGAATCATGCCGTCTCTGTTTGATTCATTGTTATGAAAAAAAGAAAATAACCACTGGTATCCAGTTGTTGTTGGTTTTTAATTCTTGACTCCATCACAACTCACTAACCATAGAGCAAAACAAACCTCGGAAAATTGTGCTTGAAATTGAGCACATACTTTCTGGAGTGCTTGAGAATAGGATTCAGACTGTGGTGGCCTGCATTAAAAACATGACAGATGTTTCTGTAGTGTGGATGGCCTTAATTACTGTTGATGTAACATTAAAGGCTCTGATGCAGAGCTCTGTTTCTTTTGGGAAGACGGAAATTTCTGGTGGAAGGTAGACTTTCAAGACGGCAATAAACAAAGCACAGGGCACCGGCAACGGTGGAGCTAATAATAGTGGACCATTAGATTAAAATGCCAGGGCTCAGATCCATTTAGGTAGCCTCTGAAAGACGCTTAAGCAGCTGATATATGTTGAGGTTTTGAAGTATAACATCCCCATTTCCTTTCCAGCTCATTAAAATGCTCAAAACTAGTTGGAGTCCAGTTTGGTAGAGTTACATCCGCAAAATCAAAGCACAATCAAGCTAATGTGCCTGGGGGAAGACAAAACCTGGAGAATTAAACCATAAACACAACAATATTGATTACACTTTATAGACCATGACTGTGTCTAGTTCAGGCATTAAAAAAGAAAAGACCTGAAAGTCAAAGGACAGACTCGTAGGACTTTTCAAATCCCCTTTATTGAACATCTTCAAAGCATTTACTTCCATTTCCACCATCCATCACTGAAGATGATTGCAAAGTAAACACTGAGGGTTTTTTTCTCTAGCAGCTCTGTTAGTTTACTTGATTCCACTGTTGCTCATTGTTTGAGCTTTGCACACTCCTTTACCAGCGACTTCAAACGCAGCTCCCTTGTAGGTTGCGACGCACTGGTCGTCAGTGCGCAGGTCTGGCTGAACCTGCTCCCACACCTTCTTCTTGGGGTTTAGCTCTTTATCAGGTTCACCTGCAATCAAAGGAAAATATTAGACTTCACCTTTTATTCTCTGCTCATGTGAAGGACATTCTCCAACACTACGAGTTTATGTTTTTATTGTGATGTTCCAAGTCTTTGCATTTGATTTTTAGGTATCCCTTATAACCAGATGGGTTAAAGCTGTTGCAAACTGTGACCCATCTAATCACTTCTAAACGTGATTGCTCATGTCAGCTTTAAAGGTTGATCCAAAACGGGAGAAAAATGTGTGAAGACCCACACGTTCTGTCAAAACCCATTATCCAGGAGCTTTATTGTATCCAAGTAAGAACATGCTGGCCTCTGCACTGCTTAATGAGCACATATAAAGTTGAAAACAAATGAATTTACCCTGAGGAATGACGAAGACAAATCAGAATTGGCTTAAATCTGCATCTTTTGTAAAGGCGAGCCCGAAGCAACTCTCTCCGATTGCAAAAAACTGCCTACAGGAGTCCATGGAAAAAGGGCACTTGATTCCCACGTTCTGAGAACTCAGAACACATTATGGGCTAAACTGGTATTTCCATTTTTTCAAGCCCCAGTCATCCAGGAATATAGTCTGGCAAGAGAGCATGTAACACTCTGAAATCCTTGTGACCTCCAGAAATGCTAAATAAAGATGGATAAAGATCAAATCTTTTATTTTTCCATTCGTATGCATAAACTATGTCTGAGTACATCGAGAATCTTGTGCAGAGCTTGGAGTGAGAATAAATATGAATAATAAATAATGAATAAAAGTGACTGAGTCTTAAGTTTGGTCATTATTAAAGCCAGAGAAAAAGAAGCGGTTATGCTGAGTGGCTTGTCAATCACAAGCCATTAGAAGTCAGAAGTTAGAAAGTTACCAAATGAATCTGTGGTTTAACAGTCGGATCCAACCCTCTTTCATCACGTCTCAAAACATCAAGAAAGCTACAGCAAAAACGCTCAGCTTTAGGCCTTTAAATGGGACTTCACCAGGTTGCCGTGGTAATCCATCTTTTATACTGTCTCCTATGTGGCATTACACACCAGCTGTTACTCAAAAGATGCCAGATTGGCCCTGAAGACGGCAACAATGACACGAAAACAAAACAAAGAACTTCATAATTGTTTTTTTCAAAAGCTATTATCATTCAGCTGACACCTTTCCTGAAACATACAGAGAGTTCTGTTATTAAAGTAAGTCTACTTTTGCTAATACAAAATACAGGGTTTCTGTGGTTACATATACAAATAATAAGCAAGCACATTTCTCTGAGATTATGAGGGTTCGTTTATGAATATAAAAACGGGCCCTGGAGACCTTGAAACCATGAAAGTGTGAGCAACTGACCAACAATATGTAATTTCATGATTTATCCAGCTAATCCTTATTTTATGTCTACCACATGAATTGTGAATGGTTTGACTTTATGTCATGTGCTATTAGAGCATCCGCTTTTTGAAAAAGGCCATTTGGTCTTGTAATTCAAAACATCTAAACCGAATTTCTCAGAATCAAAATATGAATCCAAGGGAAACAATTAGGTGAGGTTCTCATTTTATGATGCCCTTGTTTTTGATGTTGCTTGGCATTTGAGGAAGATTTATAGCCGGTACTGGCTGACTTCTGTCTGGTGTTGACTTTTTCCACTCTACACAACCATTTCGGGCTATGAGGACACAAATGTGTTTCATTTCTCAGGGCAGCAATTTCTGTTGGTTTACAACCCAAGAGTGGCAACAATCAGTTTTTGATCAGAAGCGTGAAAGAGGTTTTGATGAGCCACTTGTGTACATTCTTAAGTTCAAGCAGAAGTACTGGGTCCCATTAGTTGGGGGAAATGTGAACAATTGCCAACCATCTACCAACACCAGGAGTCGTTTGTCTTCAACTGAAACTCTGCTATAAGAGTTTTGATAGGAGGAAAATAAAGGACAGCTTTATTTTTCACCTTTGTTTCACTGTATTTTAAAAACTTCCCTGACTTTTTTAACAAAACGTTATTACAAAAAAAAAAAAAAAAAAATCAAATCAAAAACAAATCCCAATCCCATCTTTTCCCGTTCTCCACTCCTTTTGTTTTCTCATTAACCACATTTTAGAGGATGGTTAGAACAGGACTCTTTTAATGTAGCATCCATAAAAATGTTCTGGTTAAAAAGAAGACACGATGAATAAGAACGCTTTTCAAGTGGCACAGCTGAAAGCCTGTGCGGATGCATGTGGCCTGCTGCACTTGAGGCAAGAGTTATTATAGTTCTTTATATTTTCTTTTTTCTTAATTTTATTTATTTATTTTTTTTAAAGTCTCAGATTTTTAAAAAATATTTTTTCTTTTCAATTTTGTGTAATTTTATTTCCGGAGGGTGTCTGCATGTTTCCGTTTAGTGTCAATTAAAGAAGTTCAAAACAACACAAACCCGTTTGCACTAGTCAAGCAGGCAGTAGAGTTGTGAATATGCACCAATGACTTTGCGATTTTAAACTCACCAAAGATGAAAAACTAAAGATTTTTCCTGTATATACATTTCCTTTTTAAATTTTTTTGTCAGTGTCAAGTTCTGCCCCTCCCTTCAGGACGCCGATTACAGCGCTAGAGAAAGACACCCATTCATGTTCACATCCCGTGCATGTTGCAGTATTTAGTGTCTGTTACCTCTAAGACTACGTTCACACTGCAGGCGAAAGCACATCAATTCTGACTTTTTTGACCGATCTGGGTCACTTTCGTATGTGGTACTGAGTCCGATACATATCTGATGTTTTAGAAAGTGACTGCTGTTTGAACGGTCATGTCGCATTAAATCCGGCTTTTACGTCACTGACACAAGACAGACGGCAATTATCAGCTCTGGAGAAGCACCCGAGAAGACATCGCGAACGCTTCCTGGCCATCCTGTGTAGATGTTAGTGAAACTGTTGGGAAGACAACGTTGCAGAAACGTGAACATTTTATTTGTACTGTATAATCTGCAGATTCTGACAGAAATCTGCAGATTTCTGTCTCCTCTCTAAAACAGCAATAAGGATCATTATTAGGCCAAATATAAATAACAAAATAAAGCAAAATTGGGAAACGTAAAGTCCGAAACAAGTCTTTATATTAATTGCGATCAGTCGAACAATACTGTTTAGTCTGGGTCTAAACTGAGCGTGTTGTGTGTGACGTCTTCTTTTGCGCATGCGGGCCGCTTTGAGGGTTCACACTAGAGCACGTTTGCTGTCACATTTTATTTGTAGTGTGAACAAGCAGACAAAAAGAATCGGATTTGATCAAAAAAATCAAAATTGAGCATCAAGACCTGCAGTGTGAACGTAGCCTAATACCCTTTCTTGGACCATAGACTGAGGCTGATTATATCTCATTTCAAAAAAAGTGAACTCCCAATATTGTTATTGTGAACCCCTTCATCATATTCAGCTTTGCAAATGTATTTTGTGATGGCTTTTTTTTTCTTCTGCCGTTTCAGGTCATATATCCTGGAAAGTGTTTGGGAAACTTCAGAGGAAAGGAACCTGACTCCTACATGGTCTTGCTGATTAGTTAATAGATAGGAACTGGGGGTCGTGTGTTCTCTTCTCTAAACTCATTTATATCCTTTGGGCTTAACAAGGTAATTACCTTTTCAACTGACAATAAAAAAGATCACGTTACGCTGCTAGCAGGGAGTGTTGATTAGCCTGCCGAAGCAGCAGTCACAGGCCATTTAGCTACCACCAAACAGAAACGAGGGGTCAGCTAATGAGAGCTTTCAGTGGGGTCTAAAAACAAATTGTGATTGGTGTCTTCATAGGAATGAATGCTCAAACCGCCATGTTGTTTCTGGCAGTGAAAGGGTTCAGCGACACCCTTCAATTCCCAAACACAGAGTCATTTTGTGGATACGAGTCTGGGAAATTTTTTTCAAACTAAATGTCAGTGACTATCACCGGTCAGCGAGTGATCCCTGGTGCTTGCTTGTCTGGAAATAGTTTAAAGATAAAATCCTCAATTCTGATGGGTCGGCATATTCTTTTGTGCAGGTAAATTAAAGTGACGAGAGTAACCGTACCTGGAAAGCCCTGGAAAGTAACTCTGTCACCCGGCACTGCTCCGCTAGGAGGATCAAGAATTTCAACCTTATCCGGCGAGCTGGCGCACATGACCATAGCCTGGGACACTACTCCTCTCATCTTGGCTGGCTTCAGGTTGCACAGCAGGACTGCCATGCGGTTCTGCATCTGCATACAAAGAGAAAGAGGAAAAACAAATTATATCCAATTCCTTTGGTTGAAAGGAATTTGATTTGTTTGAGGACAGGACTGAGAATTTCATAATACATCAGAAACAATAATGCTAATTCCAATGCTCTAATTCGAAATGACTGCATCCAAGGCTTTATGGTCTCTTTGCCTCATTTCAATAACCAAAGGAAGCAAAAACCCAGGAGACCTCTGAGGTTTACCACGATTTAAAAGAAGACAGTTTCCCTAAAAGCTAAGAAGAAAGAAAAAAAAAAAAAAAAAGGATTTTGATGAGATGATGCATCCCAGATCTAAGAAAATAAGACCTTTTTCTAAAAATGTAGGACACCTTTTAGTAAATTCAATTCAACTTAATTTATCATAGCAGCAGTTGCCTCAATCTGCTTTACATTATAAGGTAAAGATCCTACAATAATAAGGTCTGCTATATCAATGTAAAAATAACTCATTGTGCTGTTGCATTTAGTTTTTTGATTCATGTCTCTGGAGTTTTAGAAAGCTGGAGAAAGTACAGAAATCTTATAAAACAGCATTTCCATAATAGACTGGTCAATTGTAGCTGAGCTGAGAAGAGAATCCAGAGTGTGGAGAGCTAATCCGAGCAAATAAGGAGTCAAATCTGGAGCACAGAGGCTGAATCAAACAAAGTTTAGTACGTGATTGGCTGCAAACTGAGGTGGAGCAGAGTGGACGAGAGGCTGCAGGTCCAGTGAAGTGCACACAGAAACTTTCACTGTTGTACTTTTGCAATAATAAAAAAGAGATTTTAATACATTATTTTGCTGTAGCCAGCTGTGAGTTCAATTTAAGATGCAGCCGATGAGCCCGTCAGTCTGTTTCCGTTTTTCAATACTTGCTTTTATTTTAGTGTAACTAACACCACACATTATGCAAAATTAATTTGAAAATTTTCCATCATGTTCTACTTCTAGAGTAATAAGATATTTCGACATGTTGGGTTTTGTTGTTTGTCGTACCTTTGTTTATCTAATAAAATTCTAATAAACATTTTACTTTAGGATCTGTAATGAAACAAATCAAAATAATTTGTAAGCAAATAAAACCCCTTAAACTTTAACATAAATGCGTATTTTCTCTAATCTTATTTATAACAGGAAAACTTTTATCTCGTCTGAAGGAGTAATACTGTACCTGGTCCAGAGATATGTGCTTGACCAGTCCGCTGACCACCGTTCTGGGGGCAGCCTCTCCCACATCAACCTGCTCCACATACAGACTGTCAGCGTCCGGGTGCTTCTCTGCTGTGATTATACGGCCGATACGCAGGTCCAGACGAGACACATCCACCTTGGCATCCTCTTGGCTGGGGGCAGCCTGTTTCTTCTCAGCTTTCTCTCCTGCAGAAATAAAAAATAAATAAATTCACGCTAAGAGTGTACAGGAACATGGTTTAATTTAAAATTGCACATTTCAGTGCCAAAAATGCTTTTAAAAGGAAAGTCAGTCAGTAGCTACTCATCATGTATTAAAAGAAACATCTGCTGAAGAAACACATCTGTCACAGTTTTCATGGTATTATAATAAATGTGAATAATATGACAGGAAATATTTATTTAAAAGCATTGAGAATATTTTCAGCCAACTGGTGACTTCCCATGGAATCTTGCAGAAAACAAACCATAGCTGAAACAATATCACCAATGTATGTTTCCATTTCCATAGAAGGAAATGAAGTCAGACGCCACAAAGTGTGAACCATATAGATGAGGACAAAATTATTAGCCCCCCAATGAAATAACATTTCTAAACATAGCAGTTTTCTTTACAAAGCATAAATAGTTTCTATTTGCACACAAAAACAGAATAATATTAATAAAAAAACAAAAATGACCGGTGCCGATATTATTTACCCCGCTGAAAAACAGACCCTTTTATTAAATAAATAAATAAATAAATAAATAAAATTGTATTTATATAGCACCTTTCTAGACAGAAACACAAAGTGCTGCACATAAGATGACAAGTCACAAAAAGGTAAAACAGTCAATATATATTTAGCCATAAAATAACAAACTGCTGTGCAGCGATGAACTTTAACTTTGCGATACTTAAAAATCAAGTTAAAACTGAGGGTTATCCTCCAATAACATACAGTATAAAAGACTTCAAGGGTTCAAGCTGTCATCTGATGAAACATCAAGCCAAAAACAAAAGGAATCAGTTTAGGTTTATATAGAGAAAAAGGAAAAGGCATAGAAAAAACACCACCTCCACACTGTGACACAACGGTGGGAATATTATGTCGTGGTGACACTTCACATGTCTGGATCTGGGAATCTTGTCAAACTGGAAGGAATCACTAAGAAAGAAGGATATGTGAAGATTTTCAAAGAAAACCTTGAGCAGTCAGCAGCACAACTATGTCTGGGTTGTAATTGGTCTTCCAACACGACAACAACCCAAAACAAATGCGGTTCCTGGTGAAGAACTACCTCCAGAAGACCAACGTGAATGGTATTAACAGGCCTGCACAAAGCCCTGGCTTGAATCTCATTGAAAAGCTGTGGGGTGAACTTAAGATCAGGGTCCGTGCCAAAGGAACATCAAATCTGGAGGAGTTTAAGAGATTCGCCAAAGAAGAATGGGCTGGCATTGCTCAGGAGACGTGTGTGACACTACAGGGAGTGCAGAATTATTAGGCAAATGAGTATTTTGTCCACATCATCCTCTTCATGCATGTTGTCTTACTCCAAGCTGTATAGGCTCGAAAGCCTAC